CAGGGTGTCTGTTGTGGGGAGAGGAAGGGAAAGGAGTTTGTAAGCCGCTCTGAGACTCCAAGTGAAGAGTGGGATATAAATCCAATCTCCTTCTCCTCCTCCTCGTTTAAGTTTAAAGTGTGCAATACCCTTTAGGTATTTTACAAGTCTCTTAATTGCATTCCAGTCTTTGTTTCTTGGTGATGCAGTCATTCTACACAGTAATCCTACTGCAGTGCTAATATATGGTCTGGTCAATGTACTAATGTAGAGAACCTTACCCAGCACTTCACAATATCTGTTGTTGTCAGGTAGGATGCTTCATGTAGCTTAGTTCCATTTATTATTTTCAGCATCCCATTCAACAAGATCAATTCCATTGATCAAACCTTTCCTTTCCATGTCCTTAATGGACTGATAGTTCATATGGCCCAGACTTCAGTGCCAAAGATGTACACATTTTTCATGAGAGCATGACTTGGTAAGGTTTACATCTTCTGGCATAGCATCAACACAGAATTCGTTTTCATTGTCTCTGTCTGACATTGGCACAGCATTTTCTTCTGTGTTATAAAGTCCTTTGCATTCTGTGCCCATAATATAAACTTCTCCATTTTGTGACACAGTACAATGTCCAACTTTGACAATTAGCTCATACCCTTCTTGATCAAGCTGAGAGACTGAAATTAAACTACTTGAAAAATCTGGAATATACCGAACATTTCTCAAAAGAAGGTCATGAGTGCCACCTTGTGGCTGTTTGCCACACAAAATTCCAGACCCACTCTGGTAAGCGGTGACTCTTTCCATTTTCCAAATAAACAAACTGCTTCAGAATATCTCTTAATTCAATGAAAAATCTTTATTGTTGGATATATGCACCAAGGCCCCTGTATCAACAATGAAATTAGTTGTTCCCTTTTCTAAAGAAGCTGTAAAATGTTGGTGCTCATAATCACATTTTGTGTGGGGGGGTTGCTTTTGTAACGTCACTCCCTTTGATTGCTAGGACATTCCACAGCTTGGTGACCAACATCATTGCAACGATAACATTGCAGCTCAGATTTCCTCCCATATGCACAAAAGCTTCCCTCTCTTCCCACTTCTCTCCCTGGGACTGAATTAGTAACAAATGCTGTTTCACTTGCACTGGCCTGGCTGCACCATCACTTTTGTCTTGCCAGTGAGGGTCATCGTCAATTGCATTTCTGATTGGCTTATAACATGTGCATAACTCGAAGGGTGACTAAGGAATAGAGTGGTTAATTTATCTTCCTCTTCTAATTGCTTTCCAGCGTCCTCTATCTGAGCAAAAAGGTCAGCTAACCTGCTGACATGGGAGCGGAAACAATTGCCTTTCTGGAATTTAAAAGATGCAAGCTTTTGACGGAGCAAGTATTTAAATGCCCAGCCTTTGCAAAGATGAGAAAAAACTAGAACAGCATATATTTCTTTAGCTGCTTTCAAGTTTCTAATTTGAGAAAGGTAACTTGCCTGGCGGGAGCTGGTCCATGGGGTCGCGAAGAGTCGGACTCGACTGTGCGACTGAACAACAAAAACTTGCACTTACAGACAACATGATTAGGGATCTCGCTTTGAGGTCACCATCCTCCCATTCCTGTTCCTTAGTAGCATCCATTCCTAGTGTGTGTGTGTGTCGGGATCGTCAGTAATGAATTTTCCCAGTTTTTCAGTGTCTAAGGCCATCTACAATCTTGTTCCCCATTCAGAGAAATTTTCAGGAATTAAAATCACCAACTGATACTTTCCATCAGCATAGAGAGATTGCACCATCCTGCCTGTCTCTCTAACCCGCTCCGGTGTTCATGCAAGCACACTTGTACTCATGCTCCTTTTCTTTCTCAGTTAAATCACCAGCTACTGACCTTTGTTTTGGTCACTGGAGTCACATTTAACTCTTTCACCACAGCTGGAGCCTGTAGAAACGTGTGACTCCATGGAATATCAAGTGAAGTGGGTGAGAGGACAAAGTGAGAGAGAGGCGTGGTCAGTGGGCAGCTCCCACAAAGAAAGGCAACCCATTCAAGGAGATCACACCTATACATACTTAGAGTGATGTAGCGCCCCCCCCCCAATGTCCAGGCATGCTGAGTCGCTCACTCCAACAAAACCATCCATATACCAGGCTGGGGTCAATGGTGTGCCAGCAGCCGCTGAGGATTAAAGAACTTTCACATGTTCCCCTCCCTTCAGCATGCTCTTCTGGCACCAGGGAAGTTGACTAAAATGACCGTGTGACTTGTGTGGACTAATAGCTACACAGGTTGGAGGGCTGCTGGGCTGAGGAGACGGAAGGGTCTGAAATTGCCCTCCTACCTCTGGTGACAGCAGAGCTGGCACTTGTGGAAGAAGGGGGTGGGCTTTCCCCCTCCTTACCGCAGCTCCCTGGCCCCGAGGGTCAAGAGACCTTTCCTGGGAATCATCTTCCCCAGGGTTGGAAGTGATTGCTAGGGGAAGGGGAATAAGGGAAAGATCTGTGGCCATTATGTGAATGGATTGCTGGATCCAATCCATTTTATGGGGCAGAAGCAGCAATTTGATAGCAGCATGGAAAAAGAATGAAAACAGCTCGTCTTGAAACCCCAAGCCAAATCAGATTTCTGAAAGACTGCTTTTAGATGATATAATCATGGGAGATCATAATCATGGATCTCCCATATTCAAAGGTAATTTGGTTTTCACGTAACAAATTTAGGAAGAATCTCTTAATGCGATGCTGGATTACCAAGGCAACAGGAATCGCATTGTCCCATTTTATCCTCCACAACATTTTTGTAAGTTATGTGTCATTCTGATCACCTGCTATCTAAAAGGGTATGGAGTACAGAAAAGTATTGGGGTTTTTGTTTTATTTTAGTTATTAAATGTTGTGTTTCTTCAATGAATGGAAGAAAGACAAATGAAAACCTTTAAAAATTATTACCACTGTCGAATGTGTAAACAGATAATACTATTAATTCTCCAATTATACCCTGAAATATCTTTTTCTCCCCCCTTTCTTTTTTTCTTTCCTTTTTTCATTTGTATTGAATATCTTGGTTAGTCCTATTAAAATGACATTAAATTAATGTCATTTTTCTATGGGTCAAAGCAGGGCTTGCATTTTTTTAAAAAAGGTAACAGAACTCTCAAGAGGGAAATTCAGTTTGTATACTGAAACATGAACGTTTAAACATTAAAAATGAATTTTGTCGAAGATGTTCCGGAACTCTGTTCCAGTGCGTTCTCCCAGGAAAAAAGCCCAGGGTCAAAGCAATTACTTATTAGAAGAAGAGAAGAAGAGACTGGATTTATACCCCGCCCTTCACTTGGAGTCTTAGAGCGACTTACAAACTCCTTTCCCTTCCCCTCCCCACAACAGACACCCTGTGAGGTGGGTGGGGCTGAGAGAACTCTGACACAAACTGCTCTTTTTCAAGGACAGCTGTGCCAGAGCTGGTGACTGACCCAAGGTCACATCAGCAGGTGCAAGTGGAGGAGTGGGGAATCAAACCCAGTTCTCCCAGATTAGAGTCTGCACATTTAACCACTACACCAAACTACACCAAATTACAGCTTGATTCTGTGTGTGTCTGTAAACTTTCATTGATCCTGACTTGACTCACATAACACAATCAGGAGATCAGATGAAGTAATTTCTTTTGCTCTTAACTACCACCAAGACTAGTAACCGCTAGCTTTTATGTTTAACATATACAATTTAAAAAATACATTATAATTCAAGCATCAAGTTTCTACTCCCCCCCACTGACATGGTTTTCAAGGCAAGAGCCATTCAGAGGTGGTTTGCCATTGCCTGCCTCCCCATCAGGACCCTGGTACTACTTGGTAGTCTCTCATCCAACTATTGACCAGGACCAACCCTGCTTAGTTTTAAAGACCTAATGAAATCAGGCTCTCTTGAGCTAATCAGGTCAGAGTTCCATCAAGGCAAAGGGTAAAATTCGGATCTAAACGGATCCTCATGAATTCATATGATTTTTACACTGAAAGGAAATCAAACCGCCATCATATCGTAGGCCATGTGTTAGCCTATATGGGGCGCCACAAAAATCACGATCCCACAGATTCGTGGCACCAGAACAGCGCAAAAACATGATTCCAAAGGTCTTACCCAGACCCTTAAATCAAAAGCAAAAGGCATTTCATATCTTTTCTTTAAAATCAAACTACTGAGAGAAAGAGAGAGGGAGAGAGAGATTGGATTTATACCCCGCCCTTCACTACCCAAAGGAGTCTCAGAGCGGTTTACAAACTCCTTTCCCTTCCCCTCCCCACAACAGACACCCTGTGAGATAGGTGGGGCTGAGAGAGCTCTGACAGAAACTGCTCTTTTTCAAGAACAGCTGTGCCAGAACTATGGCCTGCCCAAGGTCATCCAGCCAGGTGCAAGTGGAGGAGTGGGGAATCAAACCCGGTTCTCCCAGATTAGAGTCCACTCACTTAACCACTACACCAAACCTAGCACAAAGCTTTCAAGATTTCCAGAACTTTTCATCAGTAACTAAACTTGATCTTAGCCAAAAGGCCAAGAAGTGATCAGTAACTAAAACTTGCACTACTGGTTTCTTTTAGTTTGGTTGGTCTTAAGAAAAGGCACCATACCTTTCTCTTAGTTTGGTTGGTCTTAAACACTAAAGTTTTAGTCTCTGATGAGTTCAAGAGATCCAGGAAAGGTTTCTGCTACATTGTTCGAGCTTAAAGGGAAAATATGATACACCTTTTGTCTTTTGCTTTGCCTTTGGACCACGTGGCTCTCTATTTTTTGGAAATAAAATCCTCACACGTTTTCACCCCTTCGGCAGGGAGGGCGGGATATAAATTAAATAAATAACGCTAAAGGCAAGTTTCCTTCCGATTGGCCGAATCGCACAAGCAGGACACGCGAGGGCAAAGAACTATATATATGAGGGCGGTGCTGCTAACTAGTTAATTAGCCAAGGGTTCTTTTGGCTGGCACGCGTTAGGGGGGGGGAGGCTAAAAGGCGCCAAGGGCAGCGATGGCTTCGTTCTTGAGCGCAACATCCAATAGGGGGTGCAGAGATCGGCGAGAAGCTGCGTTCCGGGGGTGCTGGAAACGTGGAGCGCAGATTTCACGGGCGCCGGTAGAAGATTCCGCGGGTGAGAATGGTTAACGCGCCGGAAAGCAAATTCCCTTGCAGTTAAGGGGGGAGGGGGATATTTACGGGGCGATGTTTACTTTCAAGTAACTGCGCAGCCCCTTCCACGGAAATAAATACTATTGAGGTCGACTAGCATGCCTAGAGTTGGAGCCTAAGGCTGTGCACCCTTGGACAGATTGCGCTTAGTAACCGAATAGACGCGGGTGTGTGTGCTGTTTCTGAAACGTAAGTCCAACGGGTTTTGCTCCCGAAAATGTGGAGAGTTATATAGTTACAGCCTTGGCCCACGTTCGGCCTTGCTTCAGGGTAAATGTACATAGGCGCGGTTTGCGAAGTAGGAGCCCTGCTGTGCGTGCTTGCGGCTCTCCTCTGCACGTGTTTTTCTCCCACGCAGGCCCTCGCTTCTTCCCGAGTGCACGTGGCGTTGCAGCCGAAGGTGTGCCTGCTTCTGGGCGAGTACAGCTTAAAAGTCGGCGTACTTCCGAGCAGGTCTCCGCACCGGTTGGCGTTATTTCTTCAAAGCAAGTCTAATACGCTTTTTTAGCGAACTCGCCGGCGGTTCCTATTCCATTGCGCCCTTCCATGGGAGGAAGCGGCGCAGCTTTCATCCCGAAAGCATGCCTAATTGGAAGACCTCCTGCGGAGTTAAATGGGTTTTTTTCCTAAATCAGCGCTTACGGGATTGTATCTATTCCCGCCGCCGGTTCCTATTCCATTGCGCCCTTCCTTTGGAGGAAGCGGTGCAGCTTTCATCCCGAAAGCATGCCTGAATGGGACGTTTTCCTAAATCAGCGCTTACGGGATTGTAACGGCAGTTCTTTGCACTGTCGGGAGGGGGGGAAACTCCACTGAAATCGAATCCCGCTGCCGGCTAATTGGGGAGCCGGGGGGGGGGGGGTTTCCCAAATATTTTTTCCAAGCGTAGGAGGCAAAAGGAGAG